TTTCATGATGTTTCCTTTTAACTTGGTTTAATAATATAATCTTTATTCAGAAATGAGCTTTTGTAAAAAAAAATCAATAATTACCTTTGTCACTGTTTATTTAATGAATCCATGGAAAGACTTCATTAAATTATAAATACCTCATTATTGATATTCTCATAATAGATTTTTGAAATTATGATTTGAGCCAGTTATCTATTTCAAGGAAGATACAGTACAGGGAGATCAGTACATGTCCAGTGAAATGACTTCTGGTTTTGCTAATGTAATATTCATGAGAATTTGACAAGACAATCATATTTAATCCCAGAGAATAAGAGTTTGAAATGAATTCTTTTAAATTGTAATTATCCATTGGCAAGAAAGTTTAGCAAGTTTTATTGTTTATATAATTTAAGTGACTTGCTATCCTATAAACATGAAAAGGTTGTGTTTTAAGGATATCTATAGTTTCTGAAAGAAATAGTAAATACCAGTCCTATAAATATACTTGATATTAGTATTTTGTGCTTTATGTGTATTTTAAATTTATTGTTTTCAGGGAAAACTCTTTGGTGATCATTTATAAATAAATTGTTTTTCAAAGCCTGATGCAACTTGGGGTGAAGTAGATAATGTCTGAATTAGGTTTGGGCCTGTTTGATCCTTTACTTTGATAGTTTTCAGTTCCACTCTAGCTAACTCTAGATTTTAAATCTATGAGATGTCAAAGACATTTGAAGTTGAGGCAAAAACTGATCATATCCAAGAAGAGATGGGCATCATTTAAAAGTCAAATGTTCTGCAAGCATCACAGACGCTCCTTGTTTCTACATTGTTTATTTTATTGTGTTGCAAAAAATCAAATCCTATGAAATCTGGAGATTTCTACACCTAGAAAATGAGTATTTTGCATTTCATATTGCAGAAAGTTTTAAGGATAAGTTAAAGGGACTTATTTTAGAGTTCAGTGCATTTTTCAGCTTTAGCAATGCAATGCTTCTATTCCCTGAATCTAGACCTTGTTAATAATTAATACTCTGATGAAAATAGGCTCTTATGGCCTACCTATCATAACAAGTAGGAAACTTCAAGAACTTTTTCCAATCTATCCTGGATAAGAACCAGGTCTATAATAGATGAGACCCTAAAACAATGGGCAACTCTAGAGTAACAGATATCTTCCTATACTTGTGTTGAAAGGACTGCCTCCTACGGTGTAACAAGAATTTAAACTTGTTATGTAAAAATATTTCTAACCACCAGGGAAGTCCACAGGGAGTCTCAACAGTGCTTGCTCCCTCTTGGATAGTAAAAAGGTCATCCATTCACTTTTAGACATAAAATGTAATATCAGCTTACTCCTCTGTAATAATAGAAGTCAGTTAAAGCCTCTTCATTATCCTTGCTTCAGCCACAGTGGAGCCCCCGCTTGCACTGGGAGGAACACGATTCTTTCCACAACTTTCACTTTTCCTCTCCCTCTCTTATCCTCCAGGGATGAAGCAGGAGAAGAAAGAAAACATAAAGGGCATAAATGACCTTACTTGGCTAATATTATTGTACCCATCTAGTTGAGCTTAGCCTTTACTTAAAGTTCTTAAGGAGGCACTTTTTGGAAGCATTTGGTTCTTTAGAGACCTTAACCATATCATTAGAATTCTTTACCTGCAATTCCATTAAGGTAGTAAATGCACTTCCTTCAGATGGTCATTTAGGATTCCCACCTCAGCCTCTGGTCATCTATCACTGTAACTCCCAGTTCTTTTTTCTTTTTTTCTGAGTTTTGTTAACTACTCAGCCCAATTCCTTTAGTAACCCTGCTAAACAGGGTACAAAACAATTCTACATGGACACTAACCTAAGGTACACAAATGTCCTTTGTCCTAACAAACCCTAATGTACAGGTGGCTCCTGGTACATCAATATATCTTTCCTTGGCCACTGGGCATCAGCCAGCCACAGTCTCTTCCCTTGAAGATTTCTCAGGCATAGTCTAATGCTAGTTTGCTCACTACCTTGACCACTGCCACTGACCAAGTTCCAGAAGACACATGTCAAATTTTCTGAGATGTTCCACTAATGTCCCTTTCTCCTACACTTGAGATAGGGAAAAGTAAGCTTCCACCTTGCAGGTATGTGGAAATCACATCAAATCTCAACTTTCCAAAAATCCTCTTCTAATTGTCAATCTCCTCGTTCCTTATTCTGCATTTTGATGGATTGAAGTAGGTAATTAATTCAGAACCCTAAAAGCAGTTCTCAGTGTTCTCCTTTGCAAGTCTGGCTTAAGTAATTTTCAACTTCATTTTGTAAGATGGAAACAGTAATCTGTTTTTGACTTATTATCTTATCATCTTAACATCTCAGCTGAAACTGAAACAAAAAGAAGCATTTTAATATTCGATTATATCCTCATATCAGTTGCTTGCAATTTATTCCAAAATTATTTTAAGCATACATTGATTGATACATATCTGCTAACTTCGAAGAATAATACAAGGCCCCTTAGTGATGCTACTCTAGCAGGAGAGATAAAACAGGTAGTAAAAACAGCTAGATTTACCAAATCTGCTAGCTACAGCTATAGGATGGCACAGCAGTCCTAAACTCAGCCTAGTGTAATGATTAAGGACCAGACTCTGGAGCCTGACTGTGTGGATCTGAGCTACAGCTTTTCTCTTTCCAGCTGTGTGACTTTAGCCAAATTTCTTAATCATTCTGTACCTTAATTTTCTCATCTGTAAAATGGAGATAAAAGAGCGTCTCCTTCATGGAACTGTTATGAAGAATACCAGAGTTAGTATTTATAAAATGAGTAGAGCCCTATGTATGTGTTTGGTCGTTAGGAAACTCAGGGTCCATGTAGATAGGGTAATTTTTTAAATATTTGTTTATTTATTTTGAGACAGGGTCTTACTCTGTCAACCAGGCAGGAGTTCAGTGCACAGTCATGGCTCACTGCAGCCTCAACCTCTTGGGCTCAAGTGATCTTCCCACCTCAGCCTCCTAAGTGGTTGGGAATACAAGTGTGTGCCACCATGCCCAACATTTTTTTTTATGGTAAAGATGAGATCTTGCTATGTTTCCCAGGCTGGTCTCCAACTCCTGGGCTTGAACAGTCCTCTTTACCTTGGCCTCCCAAAGTGCTGGGATTATACATGTGTGCCACCACTTCTGGCTGGGTAATTTTAATAGCTGCAGAGACTTTAGCATATATTTTCCCCTGGACTTATTATTTCCACCATATTTCTCATGACCCTTACTTTCAAATACATGACATTGTAAGACATTTTAGTATTGTGTAGACTGATTCAGCTAATAAACAAACAGCAAAAGTCAAATGAAAATGCAAACTTTATTCAAAGACCTGTTTTAGCTCAGATCTTTCTGTAAGCCTGCATTATTTTCTCATTGTAGTAGAATTACTTTTTACTCATTTCAGTAATTACTGAAAATAAATTTTCAGTAATTTATTACATACATTTTTAACACATGTGATATAACTCTACAGGAAAATTTTAAAGAATCTCATTTAAGAGACATAATAAGTTATCTTTATTTAGCAAACATGTATATAGTGTTAAAATGTGATTTTTAAAAAAGTTAAATCATCCATCAAGCCTAAAGCAAATCAAAACAAAAAAAATGTAAGCATGCTAACTTATAAGAAAGAGATCTTTAAGTACAATAAGAACCCAGGGGAAAAACTCAACAGAAATCTTTAGGATCTCTACATGAAGGATATAATGAACAATACTGCAAAATAACATCCTCAATTATTTTCCTTTGATTAATGCAATTTTGTAAAAGATTTTCCATAAGGATTCTCAGTGTAAGCTGATAGCATACTCCTGCTGTCTAGTTCAAATAATGATGAGAACCCCACAAAGAGTCAAGAGAATGTGGTCCACATCTTCAGGTTTCTAACATTCTGATTTAAAACTTCTACAGGAAAGGATGGACTGTGTGTACTTTAAACCCTTCTTCCTCCACATCATTTCTCTCAACTGAGGTTTGATGAAGGGTGAACCACAGACAGTTTGAGGTTATGTGTTCTGATAAGGGCCTACAGCGCAGGTATTCTGTGCGACTGATTAAGGGCAAATCCACATGCTTTAAAAATCTGCAGAATTCATGGTAGAGTTGACAGTCCTGTTAGAGAATGCTTCTCAGAGGCAGAGGACATAGCACATGTTTCTCTTTGCCACCTTTTATTATGAAATTCTAAAGTTAACAGCAACAACTTTATAGTTAGAATGATTCATAGTGTGGTTTTGCATAATTTGAAGAGGGGGTTAATTTTGGATAATGGTATCTTTGCTTTAATTTAGCTTAGGTATAATCTAAGAATAAAGGAACTGAATTTTAGTTCTAGTTCATCTCTATTAAGTTATGTGTCCTTGAACAAGTCTTGTACCTTCCTGTGTTATCATCAATAAAATGTTGATGTTTGATCATCAATAAAATGAAAACATTGAATAACTTTCAAGCTCTTAGTATTTGATGGCTTGTGAATACTGACTAAGGGACTGCACTCATTAAATGCCTCTATGCCCCATACCCTTTAGAATTATTTCCTATATTGTGAGCATGTGTTAATGGGCTCTAAACAGACATCATTGCTCTGATTTCACCAGTTATTAAAAGGAAGAATTTGGAGCCCCATTTTTCTTGTGAAATGGGGAGAGTGGATTAAAGGGGCTGTGTTAAAGGACACGAAAGTATGTCCTTTGTGCGGGCAGCTATGCACCTTCTCTGTGACAACCTCTGGGAAGAATGCAGCTCAATTCCCTTGAAAGTATGCCTTTTGGAATATCAATTATCCATGAAAGAGATGTCTTAAATTTACCCAAATGTCAAGAATCTTGCTTCTACTACATGTAGTTTTTCAGAAGTAAAAATTGGAGGAAAACAGCTGTTGTCCAAAGCACAATTTTAAACAGTACCTTGTATGTGGTCTTTATTAAATGGTGACTAGTCAACTTAATACAACTCTTTTTTCCCCTCCTCTCTTACAGCACCAGGGAAAAATTGGAGTTAAGTTTAATGTTGGGACAGATGACATTGCCATTGAAGAGTCCAATGCAATCATTAATGATGGGAAATACCATGTAGTTCGTTTCACGAGGAGTGGTGGCAATGCCACGTTACAGGTGGACAGCTGGCCAGTGATCGAGCGCTACCCTGCAGGTAAGCAAGTGAATATGTATCGGGGGAAGATTTTATGAAAATCAAACTGGAAGAAAAAGCACTGTTTTGCGTCCGTTTCACCAAATTGTGGTTTTCTGAGAAACCATCAACTATTTATTGGACTTTAGAGTCATGTGAATGTAATGCTGTCCTAAACTGTTCTTGCTACAGTGTACAAATGCCATTTTATAAGAGAACGTGAAGGTGTACATTATCGTTTTCAAAATTCAGGACATCAATGAAATCAGAAAAATGCACACATAAAAAGCACAACATATCAAAGCTCTTTTTACTGGATCCTTGCATTTAAACAAAGGAAAGGCTTTGTCAAAAGTAACAAAGTTAAAATTTAAAACTAAGGGAAAGAATATTATAACACTTTTTTTTTTTTCTGAGAGAAAATAAGACCTAACTGTTCCGCAGATGGTGGTGCACAGCTGAAACTCATTAAAGTGTAGGAATCCCATGAGATAGAGAAATAGTGAGAAAACAATAGTAGCATAAATCAGCAGTTATAAGAACATGTACATAAAAGAAGTTTGTTTTCACTTTCATATAACCATGGAGTTTCATGAGGATTCTTTGACACTAGCGCTACTCATTTTAAGTCTATAAAATAAATGTCAAGTCATTATTGATAAAATAAAAATTATCTTGTTTATTGTGAATGAGTTTTATCAATATTATGTTATTGAAACAAAGGTGGTAGATTAGAAATTTTAAACAGTGTTACTTGTGGTGGTATGTATCCTCAATTTTAAAACAAATATGTTTTGAAGTAAAATATAAATTAAAAGTATAAAGGTATTTTACTACAATCATTATCATCTTTATATTTTAGTATAAAATAGGTTACCAAAAGTATCTGTCTCATTTATCTCTTTCCCCTTTAGATATAACTATGTTTTTTGCAAAGCACACAATTTATAACACAGTATAAGGAAAAAGTATAAAAATACATTTCTATTTTATCCAATAAAATAATAATCAAAACATGTATTAAATTCCTCTATCAGACTTATTTGGTTCTTGAAAGAAGTAATTTAATGACATAACCAATGTATTCAATTGATATCAAATATCTCAAGTACTGACTCACAATTGTGGAATGAAATATCTGTAATACCCTTCTGGACCTTTTCTGGTTTATAGAATTCTAAATCTTCAAGCCCTAGTTCAAACCTATTCCATAAGCCTAGTACTCTGCAAATATTTGCTGAATTAAATGTAATTTTATAAACTGCTCTATGACAAAATTAGGAAGCAAGAAAATTAATATGTCCAGTGCCTGTTATAATACTGGCAAATAGTAGGCACTCAATAAATATTTGCTGAATCGATGTCTTGGGAATTATCACAATTTTACACTACAATTATGTGAACTGTATACAACAAGGTGAAGTAATAGAAGATTTTAAAGCCAAGTAACTTAAATATGCATGCAATGTTACATAGCCCCTGCTAATCCCAGATTATTGCATTATCTGAAATCCTGGTATAAATGTGCAATTTCAATTTTTATTCTTTATTTTATCAATTTAACTTTTTTTTTGTTTAATTTTTTTGAAACAAGATCTCACTCTTTTGCCCAGACTGGAGTGTAGTGGCAAAGTCATAGCTCACTGTAACTTCAAACTCCTGGGCTCACAGGGTCCTCCATCCTCAGCCTCTCTAGTAGCTAGGACTACAGGTGCACACCACCATGCCTGGCTAATTTTTAAAAGGTTTTTGTAGAGATGAGGGTCTCGCTATATTGCTCGGGCTTGTCTTGAACACATGACCTTAAGTGATCCTCCTGCCTCAGCCTCCCAAAGTGCGGGGATTACAGTCATGGGCCACCATGCCCAGCCTAAAAATTTGCTTTTAAAAGTGATAGCTAAAACCTTAATAAAATTCCAGAAAGATGTATTGGTAATTTTCCTAAAATATGGATTAATTACTGCCTATTTGCTGAGAGAAAGTCATCACACTGGAAGCCATGAAAATACATAGTAGGATAAGGTCTAGACTTTGCTCATGGGATGTTGTCAGCTGTCAACAGTGGACCTGAACATGCAAAATGATCAATCCTGTTACTATTGCAGTGTGGCGTTTGCCTCTTAAGGCATGGTTTTGTGTTCATAGTTAATTCTTTAAAATTATCTTTATTTAGTAACTTTTAACACTTATCAGCAATTTCCAAACTGGTATCTTTACCTAGAGGTTATTAGTACTTATGGTGAGAAAGGGAAGGTCCCATTAGTTTGGGAAATTAGTTTGGAAAATTCTGGGTTAAGCTCCCATGCTCAAATTAGTTTGGGAAATTCTGGGTTAAGCTAAGTTAAAATATCTATACTTGGACTTTATTAATATGCATAATGTATCTCTAAAAGAGAAATATAGGATGCATTACCCAAGCATAGATGGTAGAAAAGAAATATAGGATATATTAGCCAAACATCATTGCATTTTAGTAAATATTTTATGTTTTCAAAAATTTCTGTATCCCCCAATTTTACTGTATTTTATTTGATTGTACACATACCAGATATCATGTACTGAGTATAGTTCAAAAAAGATATGGTTCCTGTGTTCTTGTAGCAGACTAATGTCCAATTTGAATCTGGTAGCTGAGATTGAGGCAGTACTTATTAATTATTTGAGAAAATATTTCTACATGTTTTTCTAGATTAATATTTGCTTAATGCATATAGTACTTTATTTGCCAATTAAACAATTGTTCAGAATAAGAAACACAATGTAAAAGATGTTTAAAAATAGAAATGAGCAGTATAGTAATAAGAAGCAAATCCTTACATATAGTTATTTCAGATACAACTTTCAACTTCTAATCAGAGATTTTAGATGCCCTTTTACCAAGATATATTTTAGAAAATATAAATAAACCGAGAGTGGGCAAAGTTGCAATTATTCTGAAGGATATAAGCAAGGAAAAACACAGAGTCTGCCCTCAAGAAAATTAAAGCACATATGAAGAATTTTAATATATACATATAAAAAGGTAATGATCAATATATAAAGAACTCAGGGGAGTCACCATTGTCGTCAGATGTTTTATTAATCATCTGCTCTGTGTTCATTTCAGTGTGATGCTGAGGTAGGAAATAAGCCATGAAAATTTCAAATACCTTTTTCTCTTGGAGATTCATCTGCAACGGTGCCATAATGGCTGAATACAAATTTTGAAGTGTGTGTGTGTCAACTCTATTAAAGTGTTTATGACAAAGTGATTGTAAATACAAGTTCAATAGCAAAAGTCTAGCATATGTATTTTATGTCAGTTTGTGGTATGGCTCTTTTTTATTAATTTTGGAAGTTATTTTTATTAGAAGAGCAGCTAAATTAAAGCCTTTACCACCAAATCCTATAATCAGAGAAGCGAGAACCAGTAGCCTATATTTGGTTCCTTTAAAGTGCCTGTACTGCAAAATATAGGTAATAAGGATTGAAATTAGTAATTAGTATAGCACTTAACCCTCCATTATGGGTCTTTGTGGTAAGTGCTTTTACATGAAGCAATTCGTCTGGTAGCAACACTATACCTTTAATGAAAAGCAACCAAAGCATTGACCAATGGTACTACCCTGTAATTGCCTGGAAGGCTTTCATAGAGAAGCTAATTAGTAGAAGTAGATTTTATGCTCTTTTTGAGTATATGAAATCTTCCTATAACTCAACAATTTATATTTTAGAATAAATATTGAATTTTCTGAATAGCAGACCTAGTATCCATTATTTTCTGTATATAGAGCAAAGTACAGAGACAATATTTTACAAACCATTTAAAGTTGAGAAAGCCATTTCTTGGTGCTTATCAGTTAAAGCTCTAGAATATAATGCATCATTAATCTCTGATTTGTCCCTAATTACAGTTATGCAGCAAAATTTTCTCTCTCAACAAAAATAGACTTTCTTTTCTCATAACATTAATTCACAAAGCCTAACATCATCTTGCTTACCCAGACTAAAGATTGCTTCAGATAAATCACTGTTATCTTTGATAATAAACCTTTGAATTTGTTTTCCTACCACAGTGTGTCAAAAGATTTCTTTTGCACTCTACACAAGGTCAAATGTTCATTTTATAGTTGAGTTAACATATTAAATCAACAAATATTTAAAGGATATATACTACATAAAAGGAACATACTAAATTTACAGTCTGGTTACAGAGATAGGCAAAAAAAAGTTCAAGATTAAAAATATAAAATGTGAGAAAGTGCTAGAGTTATGATATCATATTTGGCTAATTTCTGAATAAGATATAAAAGGAAAACTTGTTCCAAGGAAGAAGAGACCATTTTGAAGTGAGTGGTGTAGTAAGACTGTGAAATCAATAGTACATTAGGTTTAGGTCTCTTCAAACATGCATTCATTTACGAAGGATTAGCAGGAAATGATAGAGACAGACAAACTATTTAAGAAACTACTAAACAATCTGTGTATCCAAAGATAAAGTACTAAAGTAGAATGTGAGAAAATAAATAGGATGAATGCAGAATACACTGTAAAACCTAATGAACAACTTAATAGAAGGAGAGATATTCCTGCATTTTAGGTGCTCTCTCTCTCTCTCTCTCTCTCTCTCTCTCTCTCTCTCCTTCTCTGCCTCCCCCCTCCTTTTAACCAACAATTATTCAATGTTCTAGTGCTGCTGTGTGTCACCAGACAGCACTAGATACCAATGAAATGGAAACCAGTTGTAGGAAGGAACAAAGAAGTCAAAGACATTAGTATTCCTGTTTGCCAAGAAATTGGTCTGAATGGGAGATAAGGAGGATCCAGAAAACCTAAACATGTCAAATAAAATGTATTAACTTTCAGAATGCCAAGTTTGATTGCTATTAAGTTTAAGGAAAATAGATAATGGTGGTCTGGAGTGGTAAGATAAAGAGATCCTTTAGGGATAAGGAGATCTGAGAGAGAGAGAAATGCTCTAAGACTGCATAGAGATGGTGTAAATCTTTTTTCATGATCATGCAATTTGTCTGAAAGAGCTT